ACCCTGTGCCTCAGAGCACACGGACCATGTCTGCAGGAACTGCTCTGCCCCAGCCACACCAAGTCTGGCAGATCCCTTGGCCTTAACCGGTCAAGGACTAACTTTCACCAAACTCTGGCACTCAGAAGCCCAGTCTTTCTTCTCTGTACACACGTGCCCATGAGGATGGGGATGTGAGTGTAATGCAGTCTGCTCCCCTGTTCCTGCAGCATTTCTCCAGCAGACAGATCCTGGTTAGAAAGTCACTGGAGTATTTGGAGCGTGTGCTTTGTTTTTTATTCTGAGCTTCTTGGTCTGAGACAATTAACTCCCCAACTGCCAGCACAGTTTCCTACTATCACCTCCACTCCACAGGCCAAACTTTGGGATCTGGATTTGTTCTTTTGCAAAACAATTCTTATCCCCTAGACTATCCTACTAAATGTTAGGTTTAGCAACAGCTGCTTCTCCACGTGCCTGGCATATTATATACATTTCCATACCTCCCTTTAGAGAAATGTTACATTGGCAGGTAGCTAAACCACAAAGAAAGCTGGTGGGTACAATTAGACTTCACATAAGATAAACATGAAAAATCTCCAAACCAAACCACTAATAACCACGGAACCTTTCTTTAAGATGAACAGAAATGGTCATACATTCTGCAGATCCAACCAGAAAGCTCGCTGGTACAGACAGCAGGATTTCAGAAATATTGATTAAAGGGGCAGAAAGCAGCAAAAGCAGAACAGAAACCACAAAAAAAAAAAAAAGCAGAAAGGAATCTCCACTAGCCACAGGATCCCAAGAAAAGTCTCACACAGTAGTGTCTAAAAGGTGGGACGAGGTGGAGCTTCCCAGTGCCCGGGTGTGTACCCGCGGCCCAGCTCCCGCTGGCAGGAGTGCCGCGGGACACTGCCCCTCCCTCAGCCCGAGCCTGGCACAGGCAGGGAACACGCGGGGTGTGACAGAGCCTGGGCTGAGGGACGCGGGGGTGACTCGGTCTGCACACAGACGGGAGGCTGGCACGGACGGGCTCGCAGCGCTCCAGGGGCAGGGCTTTGCACCGTCTCTGTCAGCAAACAGACTGCACTGTTCAACACTCGGCACGAGGAGCCAGAGACCACAGGAGAAAGTCAGAGCACATGTCTGTGAGAACTGTGAGAATTAAATCACCCGGCGTGGCAAACACAGCTTAAATGGAATATTACTGCTAACAAAGCCGGTGCTTTTGGCACCCCAGCTCCTGGGTTGCTCATGTTTTATGACTCGGACTCTTGGTTTGCTGAGAAATGAAGATGCCATAGTCCTAATCACTCTAAAAACCTTACAGATCCTTCCCAAAAATCACTCCAACGACCTCACAGCTCCTTTACAGAAATCACTCCAATAACCTCATGGATCCTTCGCAGAAATCAGTGCAGTGACCTCACAGATCCTTCCCAAAATGACCAACTACAGCACCGTGTGTATGACACACACCCTGCCACCTGGGAAATCTCAGTGTCGTGCTCCAATGCCGTTATAGTCCAAGGTTAATGCTAATTCCCTTGCCACTCTCCCTGGAAATATTGCTCAAATATGCCTTAACTCTCCTGCAGAGCGTTTGCACATGGTTTGTACAGCTGCAGCACTCCTCTAAGAAACCAACAGCTGTAATTCCATCCAATCCATGTTCCCACCCTGCCAACCATTTTATATTTGGGAATATACGCATTTTTTTTAGTTCCTCATACAGGGCACCTCTCAAAAGAGATTTTTTTACGTTTAACATTCTTCTTCTTCCAAAGCAGAACAAAACATAGACTTTTCCAGTTATGCAATAAACACAGACATTACACACCCACTTGCATTTCTTAAGTGAGGTATTATATTCCCTGCATGGAAACACATACAATATATTTATGATCAGAAACATACAACTTTACTTTTAAAAAAAAGCTTCCCATTAATGTTTTCTTGTATTTAAATGCTTATTCTCATGTTCTCTCTTTAAGCTTTTTCTTTAAAAGAAATCAAAGTAACAAACAGTAACTACAACCACATTATTCTTCTATAAATCCTTCGAGACACCGCAGTCAAATTGAACACTTGGAGCAGCATATTTGTCAAGGAGTGCACACTGTCAGAAATCAAACCAGAAAAACCACTGCATTACCTAAACCAACTATCACCAAAATATGTCTTTGCCAAAAATACTGTGATATGTTGTGGTTCTTCAACTGCCAGCATCCGAGACTTTTGGACAACTTTTCTGTTTTAGTGCCCCACCCACCGTGAACAGCCCCACGGTATAAAAACACCCCAGCTATAATTCACTGGCTAAATGCAGTAATAAATGACTGGCTCTGCATGCCTCTAACAAAGACCTTAACAGGGAGTAATTAAAACAAGCAATCACAGCACAACTCTTCACACTGATCTGTCTTAATCTATTTTTAACATCTGCCAAGCATCTGACCCTGTCAGATTGAGCAATTCATGCAGCCTGAGAATCATCTATTTCTGCTAAGTGACCAGATTTTTTTTCTCAGCAATGGAAGAAAATTTTTACCTACTGAGTATTAGAACATGCAATATGTATTTAGAACAAATAAAATGCATTTTTCAGGATACCTGGTATCACTTACACATTCTTCAGAGAAGGAAGCTTGTTTTCATATGATTTTTGCAAGTTTATATTGTTGAGACTCGGTGGAAATAGTACCAGTGTAATTCTAGAAACACTGAGCAGAATTCTAGATGCAATGCATTTAAAAAAAAAATCAATCTATCAAGACATGGAAAAATTACTATTCTTTAGCAGAAGCAAATAACAAATCCTATTTCCTGTTCAATAACACTACAAGTCACTACAGTCGTGTAATGCCTTAAGAATAATGTAACTTGCCCTTATTCCTTTACTCGTCTGTTACGATTCCCAGGAGCAAAAAGCAGCCGAGTAACGTTTGCAGCACAATCCCCCTGCCCCCCGAGCCCCCAAATGCACACTCACCCGCAGGGCCCTTCCCGGGCATTCTAGCAGCAGGCTGGGCCTGGGCTGGGACCTGGTGCTGCAGGACAAAGGACGCTGCGTTCGTGCATGTTGTTGGGAGCTGGGGACGGCTTCGGGGGTGTTCTGCTGCTGTGACCTCAGGGCAGGGAGTCTGATCCCTCAACAGGTTGACTTTTAAGAGAGCCGATTTCATTACATGCAGCAGATGGCCCTTCCTGAGAAAACCTCCACCAGACAGGGAGTTGGCAGTGAGGAGAGGGCACATCCTACTGCCATAGAAGTCCACAGGAATTTCCTCGTGGCTGAGAGAGAGAGGAAGTGTTGGCCTTAGCTTTTCACACTAAAGCACTGGATTGTTTTTTGGAGAGCGTGCCTAACTGCTCTGCTAGGTACCTTGGGAACTTCTTACTTGCTGGAGGTTAAGCACACAAAAGTTCTGCTGAGCATGAGAAAACCCACAGTGCCTAATAAGCAGGCTGAGGAGATCAAAGGTGGACAGTGGACTTTTAACAATCACTACACAGAAATTCACCTGTGATTCCCATCCCTCAAAGGCAAAAAGGTGAATCCTGAAGTAAGGAAGTATTCCCACTCCTGTTACCCAAGGAGCCAAGTCTCACACAGGAGGAACTTCAATGAATTGCACAAACTGCTCTGAGCTCAAAGGATCTGGAAAAGGCTGAAAAGCAAGTTTTGTGCCAGGATTTTTTTTAAGCATTTTGCAATAATGGCAGCTAAAACTGGTTATGAGATACTACCGTGCTAAATACTTCTTGCTCCCAGTGTTATCTAGACCCAGATAGGAAACTGGTGTGTTCAGCAATAAATATAGCACCTCCAAACACCAGCATTCAGGAATAGCAACAGGGATATCTGTTTTATGTAACAGTCTAATAGCCAAAATAACCCCCAAAGAAACGAGAGGCAGCCACATTTGTATCATAAAATAGTCTGGGTTGGAAGAGTCCTTTAAGGGTCCTATATTCCACCCCCCTGCCATCGGCAGGGACACCTTCCACTAGACCAGATTGCACCAAGCCCCGTCCAACCTGGTCCTGAACACTTCCAGGGATGGGGCACCTAGCACCTCCCTGAACAACCTGAATGCTTGATCACTGATTAAAAGTGTTAGTAAAATTACTTTCTAAGGCACTTTCAGTCCACTTTGAGCAACTTGCAACTCCAGAGAGATAACAATTCCCTTCAGATCATTGCCCCACTCATCTGTCCATTAGCAGTGATGGAGAGCAGCCACGGGAACATCTCTTTGGGAGGCTCTTCCCAAGCCGTCCCTGCTCTCCCACGCTGAAGGACACAAGGTGCCTGAGCCTTAAGCTGCACACCTGCCTGTGTGGACACTGGCGCAGGGTGGGAGGAAGCTGTGGCACGGAGAAGAATCCATGGCCGTGCCGGCTGCAGGTGGATAAGGCTGTTTCTCCTCAGAGCGCGACCCCTGCCCTCAGCGTTGTGTGCTTTTTGCCCGCTTTACGGCCCAGCTGCCGCCTCTCCGACCACGTCCGGCCTCCTCAGGGCCAGCTGCGGACGCTGCAGGAGGTCTCGCCCTGAGGCACACTCATAACGTTCCCATTTCAAAATGGGTGAAACAAAACAAAACCCGCTCGGTTCCCTCACAGTGTCCGCAGGGCCGGGGCGAGGGGGGGCCGTCTCCTGCCCCGCCATGGCGGGGTCCCCTCAGGACGGGGCGGCCGCGCTCCCCTCAGCCGAACCCGGCCGGGCCGCCCCGGCTGCCCCGCTCCCCTCAGCGGACCCGCCCGCCTCGCCCCGGCTGTCCCGCTCCCCTCAGCCGTCCCGCCCCCCTCAGCCGAACCCGGCCGGGCTGCCCCGGCTCCCCTGCTCCCCTCAGCCGGACCCGCCCCGGCTCCCCTGCTCCCCTCAGCGGTCCCGCCCCGCCCGTCCCGCTCCCCTCAGCGGTCCCGCCCCGCCCGTCCCGCTCCCCTCAGCGGTCCCGCCCCGCCTGCCCCGCTGCCCTCGCGGTCCCGCCCGCCCCGCCCCGCCTGCCCCGCGCGGCGCTTCCTTCCGGGCGCTGTGGCGCTGCCGGCAGCGATGGATCGCGGTGCGGCGGGGCCGCTGCCCCTCGGCCGCCTGGCCGAGCCGCTGCTCCGCAGGCTCAGCGAGCTGCTGGACCGGGCGGCGCCCGGCAAGGGCTGGCGGGAGCTGGCGCAGCGAGCGGGGAGCCGAGGCACGGTGCGGCTGAGGTAGGGGCGCGGGGAGCGGCGGGGAGCGCTGCCCCGAGGAAGCCGCGGTGTCACTGCGCGGTCCGGGAGTTGGATGTTTGTGTTTTCCTGTGAAACACTGTGAAGGTCCGTTTGATAAGTGACGGTATCTCGCCCCTGGGTTGGCGTGGCACTGCGACTTAATGAAAGAAACGTTGATGAATCTCTTTAGTGGGGATACGTAAACTTGCATTCCCTTTCTATAGCTGTCTTCATGTCCTTATTATCTGAGTTCTTTGAATCTGCTGTGGTTGGAAGTGCGCGAAGACTTTACACCAAAGTTTAAACTAAGAACTTCAGGCGCAGTTCACTGCGCTGCAGTGATGTGTGGTTGGCTGGGCTGCACCACTCGCTTGTTTTAAAAACTCTAAAATCACTCTTCCTGCACTTTGAAGTTAGACACTGAGTTGCTCTTTACCGCTTCTGAATTAGGCACATGGAAATGATGGGTGCTGTACTAGTTTTTCTGCTGATACCTTAAAAAGTGAAAATTAGAAGGTTTCTCAGTACATTTGGTTAGACTTGTGAGGTACACGCATCTCTTACCTTGTAGCATACAAATAACTAATACCAGTTTCTGTCACTGTATAATTTCTGAACTCATGAAACTTGAAGGAAATACTGCAAATATGTCCAAATCAGCAAGGAATTTCCTTTGTCTATTTTTTTAAATCTTTTTGTTTGTCTACAATTGATTGTTAACCCAGCTCCTTTCTGAGCAAAGAGTGTTAAGAAGGTCTGTGCCATGTCCTTCTTTTGTTCCTCCGTAGCCCTTTGGATTTGGAGCAGTGTTCCCTCCAAGTGCTGGAGCCAGAAGGCAGTCCCAGCTGGAGTCTCCTGAAGCTGCTGGGAGATCGTGGGTGCACTGTGGTGGAGCTGGTGGAGTCCTTGCAGGCCCTGGAGCACACAGAGGCTCTCCAGTGTCTCGGCCATGCAGGTCAGTGCTGGGCCTGTGCTTTCGCTGCAGCTCTGGGTTTTACACTGGAAACACTCAGCTAGCTTGTTTTCTGCAGTAGATAAAAACATCTTTAGTGCCTGAATTCTGATAATTGGTATCCATATGATTATCAAGGTAATTGGCTCATCTGATTCTGAGATTAAAAGTAAGCCAAGTAGATAAGCAGCCTTTGTACAGTGTTGTTGTGGACTTGAACTTGGCTGCATGGACATGCAGGGTGGACTTGTTTTTGTTCCTAACTTTGCTATGTGTAAATTCTGTTTTAAAGGTATAAAGATTGTTGTACAGCCAGACTCTCAAGCAGTGCTCTCTGGTCAGGTGGTCAAGCTGTGTTGCTGGGCAACAGGACACCCATTTGTGCACTACCAGTGGTTCAAGCAGGAAAAAGAGGTAATAGTTGATAAACAGTGCAGGTTTTTGCAATAGTGAAAATAATAGGTAATGATTTTGGATGATACCTTTTTCTTTCTAAGACTCTTCCCTTTATTTACAATGAGAGAAGACTGCTGGATAGTGACCCTAGGAATCTGCTAAAACAATGTGGTGATTCCTTATATTCAAACCACTTCATCCCTGGGGGCTAATTTTGGAATGGGACAGAAAGGAAGCTGCAAGTTTAGTTGTCTCTCAGCTTAGCAATAAGTTTCAAGTATGTGAAGGAGTTGAGGCTGGTCTTATGGACACGGAAATAAATATTGTAGTGCTTGATCCTGGTTTAGATGAAACCAATCTAAATTTCAGTGTTTTTGGTTCACCTGTGATTCAGGTTCCCCATGGTGATTCTCCAGAGCTGGTTTTGAATCCAGTGAGTGTAAAGGATTCTGGCTTTTACATCTGTCGAGTGAACAGTGACTGTTCCTTCGTGTTCAGTCGGTGGGCACGCCTGGAGGTCTGTGAGCTCCAGGGTGCATCTCATGGTGAGTGGCAGAACCACTGCCTTCTGAAACTGTCCTCCCACTTCCTAGAGGAACTTGGGCCTCTGTAGCTGTGCTTAGGTTGTCTCACCCTTTCTTTTCTTTTTTTTTCCTTTTTGTTTCTCTTAAGGGAACGTGGTGGGTTTGCCTCAAAACAAATTGTGCATTTGTGTTCAGCCTCAGCCACAAAACCTGACAGTGGGGGATGCTTTGGTACTAGAATGTGGAGCTGTTGGAAACCCAATTCCTCATTACCAGTGGTTCAGAAATGGATTTCCCTTGGCAAATGGGAGCAAAAACGTCTACACAGTAAGTTACTGCAATGGGCCAGCCTTGGGGGCCGATGTGCAACCACCTTGAACTTATCACAGAAAGCTTTCTTGAAGAAAACAATTTCTCCATAGTCTTGATTAACCTCTGACAGAAGTGCTCGCTCCAAGTGCTTCTTTAGTTTTTACTTTTTCTTGCATGGGGGCTTAAATGCAAGGCTTGAATACCTGATACAGGTGTTGTCTTGGGGTCTGTGAGGATGACTGGGACGACACTTGCACAGGTAACTTCTGTGGACGTGGAACATCAGGGGACATACTGGTGTCACGTATTCAACGACCACGAGGATGAAGACAGCGAGAAGGTAGAAGTCATTATAGGTGAGGAGTTTTCCTGTTTGATACAAGACAGGTGAGGTTGTTCATTGCAAGCAGAATGAATGAATAGAACATATTCAGTGTGTGTGCACGTGCACGTATTTTCAGGGACCTGAAGAGGAGCAGATCTCTGTATAGCTTCCAGATCTATCTGGGAATACTAGTATGTACCTCACAAGTTCTTTCCTAACCTAAGGAATATCCTAGTGTAGTACTCCCAGGTTTCAGTGATTAGTGCTGTACAGTGTTGTGGTCAGTGCAGATTTGTACTGCTGTAAAATGAGCCAGATTGCAGAGCAGCTTGACAGTGACCTTTGTCCCCCACCTCGTATGCTAACACTAATAACTGAGAGCGCTTGTCTTCCAATTTTCCCCCTCCTTAAAACACAAGGAAGGAAAGCAATGGCAGTGGAGTGCACAGAAGGTAAAGTAAACCTTTAGTTGTGAATCAGTTTTGAAAAGTCAGTGAGGGGACGATGGGTTGTCGGGTGTGTTGCTGAAAAGCATGTGTGGGTGAAGAGCTTCGGTCTAGTTTAAGGCACTGATGCATGATGCAGTGTTCCTTTTGCACGTGCTTTTCTCTTCTTTGCCTGGATGCCAGGATCTAGAGTACAGGAGAAAAAAAACCAGGCTGCTTTCTCCTGTGCTAGTCAAACGAATGTAAAGATCTGGAGAGGTTTTTGGCTGGGCTCAGGAGGCAACATCCTATCCAAGAAAATCTGGAGGTGTTTAGGAACCTGGGTAATCTTAGAGAGCTCCAGTGTCAGCACTCTGTCTGCAAGAGGTGTTTCCAGCAACCTCATTAGGATGATTTCTGTTCTCCTCTGCATTGCTGCCATGGGGAGGAAGATGTGTATTATTACTTTTGCTGTTTGCACCATCCCTTGATGGCTGAGCTCCTCAGAGTCTGCAACACCATCAGGGGATCACGTAGAACAGTGTAAGGCTGCTCACAGCAGGCCTGCTCTGAGACATCCCTGGGGCTTCAGACACAGTGGTTTTCTTTTCCATGGTTTCCAGTGCTCTCAGAATAAAGAGGTGAAACCTGTGGTAGCTTAGAATATTTCAAAATTCTGTCTGAAGTCTTTCTGAATACATGTGGCTTCCCAAAGTAAGATTTCTTGCTCAGGATGTTGCTTTTTCAGCAGTCTTTCAAGCATATCCTCTTCAAAGGGGTGATTCTGATGCCTTGTTCCTTGCTCCTTCAAGCTGCCTGCATGCCTGTGGGATTGGAGTGTAGGGAGTGTCCCTCCCTTGGTTTTTAGCTCTGCTGTGCTGTAATGCTGGTCTACCATGGCTTTATACATTGCTGGATTTTCTCTTCTCTGGGCGGAATAGACACGAAAGATTACATTTGCAGAAATGCAAAGCCAAAAGTATTTTGGAAAAGTAGCTTGTTTTCCGTGTTCAGCTTTGATTATTAGTGGCATGACACTTATATTTTTACTAACAAAAATGTTGCTTTTGCTTATTGTTTAAATGATGATCTTATTGGTGTGTTTCTTTGCAGAAGATTTTAATGATCTTCAAGAATCAGGTCAGTGATAAGTTTTGAAAAACTTTAGTTTTGCATCTCATTTTTATGTTACAAGTCACTGAAGCCTAGCTGGGTTACAGTATATACTTTACAGTATTTGCATGTGTCTGTAACTAGGAATTGAATAGGGGCAGGTATCATGTTAAGAGCAGCACAGCTTCCTGGGTCCAAAAGGTTGACTTGAAGCATATAGTGAATTATAGGGGTGCTATTATCTTTGTAACATCACCCAAGTCTGGTCTTACTGCACTGCACGTGCACTTATACAAAGGGAATTATCTTTGCTTTCTTGTCTGTAGTTTCTCTGGACTCTCAGTTTTAGTACATTGCTGCTTTCTCAGATGATGTAAGGTGTCTGCTGTAAACAACACAACATCAACAAAACACCCCCAAAGCCACCAAAACAAAACAGAGCCCTTTTTTTTGTGCTAACTCAGTAAGGTGTTAGGCAAAGCAGTGTCTCTACACGATAGCTGTGGGGAACATGCAGTTCATTTTCTGGTGTTGCAGCTCCAACTGTAGTCACTGACAGTGCTCTTTTCATCTCTTTCAAGCAGACCCACAAGAACTGTCGAGTCACAGACCTGTTGGTGAGTAGATTTGTAGCTGGAACGTGCATTTCCCATCTTGGAAACAGATTTTGCTGCTTCTGACACTGCCAGTGCAAGACCTGTGGGGCACGTAGAGAGCTGCAGGGAGGGAGACCTGTGGGCATTGGTACAGTCCCTCACAATGCTTGCCTGCCCTTCCAGGAGTAAACTGTGCCTCTGTCCAAGCTTCTCCACTCTTTCAGCTTCATCAGTGTGAGGGGGAATTTAGGTGCTCCCCCCCAAGCTGGTAAGGTTGGGGTTTTTTTGAGGTAAGAAGAGAGTTGAGCTGTATTATTGATGTAGGAAGGCTTTTGAAATCACATGAAATATTGTGCCTGGAAATATTGTGCCTGGATACTCTTTTCTCTTTGGAAGACCTTACTTTTAAAGGTAGTGACCCCTGGAATATATAAACGTGACGTGTTCTTTTCTCCCTGTGTCTTGGCAGCCACAGACAAGGTGGCTCTGTTAATAGGAAACATGAGCTACTGGAATCATCCCCAGCTCAAGGCTCCCATGGTAGATGTCTATGAATTGACCAGTTTGCTAAGGCAGCTGGATTTCAAAGTCGTTTCTTTACTGGACCTTACTGAATCTGAGATGCGAAACGCGGTGGATGAATTTTTACTTCTCCTGGACAAAGGAGTATATGGTAAGAACACGCCAAATCCCTTCTGAAGTAGGTCAGTGTGGTACGTATCAAGTACACAAACAGCTGGTATTTACCTCTGCCAGCTCTCTACATGTGATGGCCAAACAGCCTTCATGGTAAATAGGGTGTGTGCAGAATGGGAAGAGTAAGTGAAAAGCACCCACCAGCATAGCCTTTGACTTGGCTTAAAATGTTTTTGTTTCTTTACTTTTAGAACAGATCAGAGGTTTGAGCTCTTTTCTTTAACCACACCTATAACTGCAGTGCAAGCTCTGGGGGAGTGCACAGTGGAATTGATGCACAGAGCAAAAGCCTTCGTGTCTTGTGTGGAAAAGGCCAGGAATGATCTGGTTGGGAGTGTAAGAAAAGTTCTTCTGTGGGCTTTGAGTTTTCAGCTGACTGCCACTATTTTGTCATTTTTCTAAAAGCTAAGATTCTATAAACTCCTTGAGAAATGACTTAGAACAGAGAGCAAAAAGTTTTGCCAGTGTCCCTATTTAAATTGCAGAATTCCTGTAGTAAAGCCCATTCACGAAAACATTACTTGATCCTTTTTTGGAACACAAGGTCAGATTATTTGCTATCATGACTTTTTTATGGAGGTGTTACCTGATGCTCTGTCTGAGCAGCACTGGCTGCTCTGACATTTGGGCATTTATGTCTGAGCCAAAAGCTGCCTGACATGAAGCCTCAGCCTGGCAGGAGTATCGAGGCTTTCTGAGAGCAGTCTGCTTTTTTACTCCCTGGGAAATAGATGTGCTGGTACATTTGGGACTCTTGCACCTTCTCAATTTTTTTCTGTAATTGTTGTCATGAATGTAGAAAATAAAGCACAGAAAGGCTTTAATGGGTTTCTCAGCAGCACCACATGAAAGCTCTTACACAACATATTTTTGCAGTCGTGCATTTCCAGCCACTTGGTATAAAAGGTAAACGGAGCAGTTTTTCAGTGGTGTTTGGCAATAACTACTTCAATTTAAATGGTCACTTTATCCTTTCTGCATAGTGGCTATTAACAGCTTAAAGCCAATAAAAGGTGCTGTCAGTGCACAAATAGGTAATGATTTATAGCATTTCTAGTGGGCATAGCTTCAAATAGAAGAGGCACAGTGGCTGCTGCTGTCTGGTCCCTGTTACATGTGTTCCTGATGCCTGCTAAGTTGTGTAATTCTGGCCAACTGCCAGGAAAGTGGCATTTCAGATACTGGTCCTTAAGGGCAGGAGTGGTAAACAAAGTGATGATGATTGCCTCCTCTGATGCCTTGGTTTGTGCTGTTCTAAATGTAGGGTGCAATTAACATTGTATTCCACACAGGGTAAAAGCATAGACCCGGATGTCTGAAAGGCTAAAAATATTTAGGCTGCTTTCTTTTTAAAAGAGAGAGAGAGAGAGAGAGGCAGATACCACTTAAATGCTGACGTCTCTGAGGAACTTGAGCCTACTTAAAATTGTTGTGCCTTAGTGTCTGTTGAGACCCTGTGAGCATGTTTACTCCACTTACCCCGGTATGCACGGATGTATTTCTGATCTTGAGCTCAGCACGGTCAGCGCTGCAGGTACTCGTGCCACAGCACAGGCATCTGCCAAGGACAGCAAAGGAGTGTAGTCAGTGCCATGACTTACAGAGTATACACTCAGATAGATCTCCAGCCAGCCTGAATTGTCACATTTCTGTTAGCTTTGTTCAGCTGCACACTACATACTGTATATATTGCAGAGCTGGCCCGTAGACTGCTCTGTATAGATAAATAAAAAGTCTTTTTAAGAGATGGAATTTGCATCATTAAGGAAAACCAGCACTGGGAACAGGCAATAGGAAAATCAAATTTAATCATACAAGCTTCTCTTAATTGCATTTTTTGGCAGTGGAGGTTATTAATTCTAAGAACATCTAATCTTACTGCAAATTGATATGACTAATACTGGACATCTTTATTCATATAAGTAAAATCTAAGCCCTGGCTTGCAGTTTCCTTTTTCAGGGTTCAGAAAAGCTGTCTTTAATTCCATGACATGTTTGGGTTTTTTTTCCTACAAAAATATTTCATGTTTTATTGAAGATTTTAAATCTTAAAATGTTGTAGACTGTTGTGTACTGGCAAGTGAGGGAGATGATGGCGGGATACTCGTTTCTGGCTAGGAAAGCACGCAAAGAATTTGTTTGTTTAGTAGACCCAGAAGTAACCCAGTCTGTAACTAAGAGATGTAGCTGCAATCAACTGAACATGAGCTGCTGGTAGTTTGGTAATGGGGATGTGCTCTGGAGTCCTACCAAACTATTCAGCAGGGTTTTTTTCTGTCTACAAAATCTGCAGAGTTACTGCTGCTCAGAGCTTTGTAATTGCACACGTGGAGAAGATGTTTTACAGTTGGCACATTTCCTTGTTCCCATCTGTGAGTTACACATCATACATAACAGACTATTTCTGCTAGAGGCCATAACTACTTAAAGCATTTAAGAGTATTTAACTCGGTGTGTTTGATGCAAATATCCGATTGATCCTATTGCATGTGTGATATTTGCTTTTTTTTAAATTCATTGTGTCTGTGTGCTGTGGAGTCGATGTTAAAGTGGCTCGCCCCTGCCTCCCCTCCCTTCCTGTGTTAACAAAAGCATATTGATATTAAAAACCCAGCTTGGAGTGGCTTGAATGGTCTCAGTCCCGCTGTGCATGAGATGTGCAGGAGCGCTCCCGTGTGCTCCCCGTGCTCTCAGTCACACCTGTTCTGTACCCAGGTCTGCTGTACTACGCCGGTCACGGCTACGAAAACTACGGCAACAGTTTCATGGTCCCCGTGGACGCTCCCAGTCCCTACCGGTCAGCAAACTGCCTGTGCGTGCAGGACGTCCTGCGGCGCATGCAGCTGAAGGAGACGGGGCTCAACGTGTTCCTGCTGGACATGTGTCGGAAAAGGTGTCACCTCTGGTCCTCAGGGGAGAGCTGACAGCGGGGGCTCGGGGGTGGCTTTGCCTCACAGGACAGGGAGTAATGACTCGAGTTTGGGGAACCGGCTGTGAGGTTGGCTTTCTGTCCCCATGGGTGGATACCTGCCTCCTGATTCCAGCGACACTTATTTCTTCTTTTTTGCTGTTGCTTAAAAGTTATAGACCATTAGTCTGATTAGATAAAAGCAAAATTGGGCATCCTAAAGGAGAAACGTGACCCTTTCCCCTTGCACCGTTATCCGCCTTCATTACAGGAGGAAGGATCAAAGGCATGTTAATTTGGCAGAAGGGCTCAAGTGAAGTGCTTATTTTAGAACTCTTCAGAGCCATGGATTTTGCTTTTATGCTGGGGATGTTGTATCTTTATTTAGAGCTTAAAACCCAACTGATTTATGGGGTTTTTCTAAACAAAGTACTGTGTTCTTCCCATGTTGAGAAACTACGATGCCCAATTAAACTTGCACTTGAAATCAGCTCTTCAGTCAGCACTTCTGGCAATTGGTCTCTCAGGAATGTTTCATAACAGAAAAGTGCTGGTGCCTTGGTGTCTGTCGAGCCTCTAAACTTCAGTGCTAATGAAATGCCTGTGACCCAATTCAGGTTCACAGTCTGCATCCAAATAGAAAATCCATCTACATAAGCCTTGTGCTAACTATGCAGACACCGGGGGGGGGGGGGGGAAAGTTAGAAAAAAATCATAGCTTTTGGTATAACATAAAATGGGCAGTTATCAGAAATGGGTTTTGCAGAGATTGTAGACCAACTCTGCTAGTTACTATAACATGATGGTGCTGAGTTTTGTCTTTTAGCAGTCAGGATTCATTCCAGAATTGTAGGAGTGAAACAAATTCCTGGTTCTGAGCTCTGCTTTTCTGGTATTTTGAACTTGTTACCTTTATTGACTTTCTTGTGTTTCCATTTATTGCAGAAATGAATATGATGACACAGTTCTTATCTTGGATGCTCTGAAGGTTACAGCCAATATTGTTTTTGGATATGCAACGTAAGGAAATTTTTCTTCTTGTGTGCCACAGAAGTGAGCACTGAAATTGTACAGCTGCCCTTTTCCAGAACAGTACTGTGGTGTTAACAGACCAGTAACCTCGGGCAGTTTGCAAGTTAAGTGCAAAAGTGACTGAATAGAAGTAGTCAAGAGCTTTCATAAAATCTTCAATGATAAATTGAAGCTCCTCCTATAAGGAGTTTGATAAACAGCTGTGGTGTGTGATGCCATTGGAAGGGAAACCTTCCGTGAGCTGCTTGCAAGGGAACACAAAGAGCAGGCTGGCCTTGGCCACAGCCTGGTTTTCAAATTGTAGGAAATTCCTTCCCCCGTTCCCAACACAACTTTACTCCTCACCACGCAGATGTTTCAGTGTTTTTTCCTTGTCTGATGCTGGTGATCTCACAGGTGCCAAGGAGCAGAAGCTTTTGAAATTCAGCAGTCGGGGTTGGCCAATGGCATCTTCATGAAGTTCCTGAAGGAGCGTTTGTTAGAAGACAAGAAGATCACTGTTCTGCTTGATGAGGTTGCAGAAGGTGAACTCCAGCTTACTGCACTAACAGTCTCCTCAGCCTGCATTGCTGAAAACAACTTTGCTTACGTGTTCTTCCTCCCATGGTGAATGTGTTACACTACTTAAAGCTCTTTCTTGTTGTGTTTTGATCAAATAGCAGCTTTTATCAAGAAGCAGCTGCTACTGGGCAGCACATTAACAACGTTCTTGGTGTTATAAAGGGATCTGAGCTTCTTTAATAGTGTGCAGTTTTATACTTTAGCGAACCTTATTTGTTCTGAGTATCTTTCCTCATGGAGCTTTGAATTGTCCATCGACAAAAATGCTCTTCTGTCCTGTGGTTCCAGCTGCTTGTGGTAGTCCAGTCATTTGCAAGTTCATTTAAACAGTTAATGGAGTCCTACCTGCCCCAGAGTGCTATAGTGATGATAATGATTTGTTCTCTATCGAGAACTGTAAGTTCTCTTAAGTGCATTAAATAGGGCAATGCACTGCTTTCAAATGCCTGGTTCAGTAATTGTATTTTAGATTTGATGGGAAAAGTGCTAAAGTGAAAAATGTCGAGGGAACACGTGCTGCTCCTGTGCAAACATCTGCTCCAGGTACAGAAGAACAGGCCAGCCATTTTGGCCAAGATCAGCCAGTGTGAGGCTGGCTCTGTAGGGGATGTCTCTCATCAGCTGCAGGTCACAGAGCTTTGCCCAGTCTGTCTTTTGTTCAAGAATGGAGAGAAGGACTGACCTGCTGGGCAGTGTGACAGGCGCTGCTGTCAGTATTCCCAGGTCTTGAGTGTCAGGGACCACACAGGTAAATTGAAGACACTTGTAAATGTGCCAGAGGAGTGCTCCCATTGCCAGTGTTCCATGTAAATAGCCCCCACGGAAAAGGCCCTGCTGGCACTGTGCTTCCTGCTGGCTGCCTTTGCCACCAGAGTGCAGTGCTGGCTCGTGCTCAGCTTGATGGCCCCCAGGCCCCCGAGGTGCTTCCCTGCAGAGCTCTGTCCCAGGGAGTCAGGCCTCTTCCTGCACAGGGGCAGGGCATCATTCCTGCCTGGGTGCAGGACTCGGTGTTCCCTGCTGTTGGATTCCTCTCTGCCCAGTTCCACAGCCTGTCCAGGGCCCTCGGAAGGGCAGCACAGTCCTGTGGGATATCAGCCACTCCTCTCAGTTTTTAACCATCTGCAAACTTGCCAAGCTTTGCACTCTGTCCTGTCATATGGATCATTAGCGAAGCTGTTAAATAAACAATATTGGGCCCTTTATCAATGCTTAAAATACTCCCCTTGCCCCCCAGTCCTTTAGAAATCTCTGACTGGAATTATTCATATTCTTGAAATCAGTCACTCTAATTAGGCCCTTCCCCACTCAGAACTGTGATACTGCTTGAGCAGGCTTTGAGGAACAGGGGAAGGGGTTGGCCAGGCCCCATGTGAACCCTCAGGGCCCTGCAGCAGCAGGAATGGTGCCTTGGCCCTCAGGGAAGGAAGAGCTGCAGCTTTTGATGGACGTGCTGGCGCTGGCATAACCACAGCAACCACACAGCACTGCAGCAAGGGACTTAATTCAGTTGGAATGGCAGCAGCATTGATTTTGAAAGAACCTGTATGCACCTTACTTTCAGATATGGGCAAGTGTCCCCTGACCAAGGGCAGGCAAGCCCTGGAGATCCGCAGCAGCTTGTCGGAGAGGAGGGCGCTGACAGACCCCGTGCAGCAGAGCACAGCCTCGGCAGAGTCGCTGGCACGGAACCTGCAGTGGGCCAAGGCTCATGGTAGGGGACACTGCTCTTACATGATCCTGCTGCCGTGGGGGGACAAGTGAGGGCATGTAGTACTGAATGGAAATGGGAGACATTCAGATTTATATCTGAATTTTCATTAGTCTGTTCAGTAGGAAATCTTGGTGTTTGGGTTTACCCTTACATGAGACAGGAATGAACAAGGTGACATGGAGAATTCATCCAGAGTAAGTATATTTAAAACCACAGTAGGGGAGACTTACGGGATGTCTGCCCCCTGGACAGTGTCCCAGGAGTCTGTGTGTCTAACAATGACACTTCTAAGACATCATTAACTCATTCAAAAGTCACCTAGAATAGGCAGGCAAACTGTATGGTAAGTGTGCATGAGATGAAAAGGAGTTTTCAACGTATACAACTAAGAAAATAAGGGTGAGATGAGTTGGAGGCTTTCTAGCTTCTTTTAACAAAGGCAGTGCAGTTTAAGATCTTTCACCTTATTTACCTAAAGTTGTTGGGGTACATCTTCAAATTGCTTTGATAGATTGGGCAGAGGGTCGGGGTGGCATTTCTAAGACAGCTCTTCCACAGATGCAGGTATTTATTTGTGAAATTATACCCTTAATTCTTGTTTGTTAAATAGAAACTGTTTTAGAAAAATACAAAATGCATATGCTGAGTTATATTTAGACTGTAATGATGTGTTCTTCGCAGAGCTTCCAGAAAGCAGGTACCTTGATTTTAAATGTGGTGTCCAGATCCAGCTGGGGTTTGCAGCCGAGTTCTCCAACGTCATGCTAATCTACACGAGGATGGTGCAGAAACCCCCCGGAATGGCCCTTTGCAGAGCCCACGTCACAGACTTCGCTCTCGTAAGTGCTTCCTCTCGGTGTCTCGGCATCTTGCTCCACTGAAGTTGAAAATTTCCTGCTCCATCCATGTCAGACTGCATCTTTTGCAATAAAATGGGTCCAAACTGTTGAAACTTCTAAAACTGAAATAAGTAATGGTTTATGATCTACAAATTCTATACCTTCAATTAAGTTCTCGTTTCTTTCTTGCAACAGGACCTGGATGTGGATCCTAAATTGGCTAATAAAGGAACTCCTGAGGAAACTGGAAGCTATTTAGTATCAAAGGACCTTCCCAAACACTGCCTCTACACCAGGCTGAGTTCACTGCAAAAACTAAGGGTTAATATATATTACTCCTCACGTTTGTTCAGATAACTGACACTAATCATGTTGCTTCGCAGTTCTGTTGAAGCATCTGTGTGTTGTCTGCACAGTAAGTTCTTTGGAGGGAAGCAATGACTAATAGCACAGTTTAGTGACTTTAATTCTGTAGCTGAAAAGTAAAAGCCAGGGAATTGATGCCTATGCAGTCCTGAAACCAGCATGCAGGGCCCTCTGTATTTTCTTGGCCAAGGTGGTTGTTTTTGTGAAGATGATCCATAGCACACTCTGAGGGTGTTCCTATGCACTGCAGTTCAGGAAGAACATGACCTGAAGCAGAGCTGCCTCTTACAGAGTCATTAGTAGGAGCTGAAAGTGTTGTGTATCATCAGCCAGTGCTCCTGGGCATGCAGTTTTTGGAAGGTTCTCCCTTCAGCAGACTGGGGCACTGTGAAGTGTCTCTCTGTATCTTTGTGTCATGAGCACCTGCCATCTCTTCTTCGGTGTTTTTGGCAGCTGAGGTAACATAAGTGCTTCTAGAATTACAGACTGTCCTGTGAGCAAGTACTGACCAAAAGAGGTCCTCAGTAAACAAGTCTTGCCCAGTGTGTGTCCTCAGCTCCTAAAAAGGTTGCTCTTCTCCAGGAGGCCAGGCCTCTCAAAGGGTTTCCTGCAGTGTTTATTTGGATTGGAAGTATAACTTGTTCTCTCCCCCACCTTTCCTCTTTTACAGGAACACTTGATCTTCACTGTTTGCTTGCACTATGAGTATTCAGGAATAGAAGATACAATGGATGAAAGAAAGGAAGTTAATGTTGGGAAGCCCCTTATTGCTAAATTAGGCCTTCATCATGGATTCAAAACCAATAACTGTCCTCATACCTGTTGCATGGCTGGTTATCCTTTTCATAATTCAATGGAATCGAGTCTTAGAGAGGCAGCTGAATACTACATCTCCAGTCACTGCCAACCAAATTCCTGTCCAGGTGTTTACCATCCAAACTGTACTTGCTCAGCCAGCATCACACAATCAGAGGCGTGTTCCTGCAATGGGCCTCCCAGGATATTGGCTTCAAGACATGAAGTATGGAATTACTCACCCACTGTGGAAAAGAGTAATGTACCAGTAGAGACCACTGATGATACTGTTGAACTGGAATTCCTTCTCTCTGACAGCCTCAGCTTCTCTGAACAGCAGTAGCTGGGATGTGTTTGGAACAGACCTCCACAGAGCTCTGCAGGATGCCTCCTGAGTAAAAATAACCTGTTATCCTGAGAGTCCTGCAACTGCCTCTTTGGCTCCAGAAGAGCATCTGCCCCGTGGAACTCTCCACTAGGAGATTTCAGGGCTGCTGTTGCTGTCTCTGTAGTTACAGCTTTGGTTCATGCACCAGCTACTTCTCCTCATTCTGTCAGCTAATTAGGAGCTTTGGCAGCTCCCATACATTAAGTTTCTGGGCCATGTTCACCTTGACATAAATTCCTGACTGCTGCAGGGATGATGGTTTCAGTATTACTCCTGCCTTGCACAGAATTTTAATTCAGGCGGAGTAAGATCCGCTCGCGTTTTAGAGTGTGGCATTTTGAGCACCAGGGTGTTTGCTGTGGACTGGAGACAGTTTAAAGTGTCAGGTGTGGGGGAGGACAGGTTGGCAATTTGAGGGAGTTGGGTTTATTTTTTTTAAAAAAAGATTGATCACCCTCTTAGTTTAATAATTGCAGCGGTCTAGGAATGCAGTGAGGACCCCTCCATGTTGTGGAAATTAGGCAGTTATTAATTGCTAGGGTACCATTGCAGCAATTTAGTCATTCCAGGTTTATTTTAAGAGCTAATGAGAAAAAATGTGCTCTGCCATCCTTGTTGGCATGCAGTGAGCACGAGCCCAGGATCCCTGTGGGTGTGTGTTACCACAGCAACCAGCCTCCACACCCACATCTGCAGCGGATGCGGGGGAAGCGGCCAGGACCTTCCATGTGCCCTTCCCACAGCCCCTGCTGGCACCTGCCTGTGTGCTTCCGAGTCACTGCAACGGGGATGGAAAGCCTTCAACCTGTCATGCAAATGACTTCACATAAGATCAAGCAGCTCTCAGATGCTTCCCGGGCTCTCTGATGACTTAACGTGATGGTTATGATTTATTTCACCTCTCTATACATGAGCTAGTTCTGCTTCCCGAGGCAGCTTCCTGCCACCCTGTCAGAGAGGGATGCTGAGCGTGCATGGCAGGACAGCACCAGTGGTCCTGTGGAGGTGGGTGCTTCTCCTGTGGGTTACCAGCAGGCAGCCTGGAGTCCTGGAGCAGCCTCTGTCACAACGCGCTCAGATTATTCCCCTCTAAATGGGCAGTTTGTTGGTGCTGTAGGTGTCTAAAGTGGTCCCAGGATTCTTCCTTGTTCACATCCTGTCTGTGCCTGTCAGCTCTTTCCCTCTCCTTTCCCTTCTGCTGAGTGCCAGTAGTATCTGTGGTACCTGCCTCTCAGGACCAGCTGAGGATTGGTCCAGCAGTTTTTGAGAACTGCTTTGAAATACTGGGAATGTACCAAATCTGATATCTTTTTTTGTCTGTAGGAAGCATAACAATCTTTTAAGAAAGTACAGTTGCTATAAAACATTTTTGTTTTATTTTGTGTATTTTGTTTATTTTGCAGATTCTCAAAGCTTTGTAGGTTTTGTTTTGTGCCTGCCTTAGGGATGTGCAGAGTCTGCTGCACTCTGGTTGCAGCTGCAAAGAGAACACTTTGTTTGAAACAACCCTTAGATTATCAGTTCTGATTTTAGTGGAAATAGTGGGTTCATTTTAATCAGAAAACAGCTGTGTTTGATGCCAAGCCATTTCCCTGTGCTGGCAGGTAGAGAACTGCAGCTGTTTGCACACTCACTGTATTCCAGCACATAAATCAGAGGTGGGACTCGTTCACTTTGCAGAGTTGTATACATTGAAAACTCCTTTTCATCTCATGCACACTTACCATACAGTTTGCCTGCCTATTCTAGGTGATGACTTTTGAATGAGATTAATGATGTCTTAGAAGAAGTGTCATTGTTAGACACACAGACTCCTGGGACACTGTCCAGGGGGCAGACATCCTGTAAGTCTCCCCTGTGGTTTTAAATATACTTACTCTGGATGAATTCTCCATGTCACCTTGTTCATTCCTGTCTCATGTAAGGGTAAACCCAAACACAAAGATTTCCTACTGAACAGACTAATGAAAGCAGCTTCTCAAATTGGCAGATGGTGGCTCTGTAAGAAAACATGTTTTCTTGCCTTGCCCCTCAGTTCATTCCCAGACTGAGCAAAGAGAGCTCGGTAGTAGCATCTGTTGATGGAATAGTTCCTGTTAAACTCCATCTGCCTGCCAGCTCTAAGATGTTCCAACCATGGTGTGTATATAAGGTACAAAAGGTATAATTAGAATTCTGCTGTATCAAAAACTGGAGTGGGTTTAATTATGTAAGATGGACATTTTTGGACAGCTCTAAGTACTAAAAAATACCATGAGTGGCGAGATGGTGCTCAGCAGTTGCCTTTGCAGCCTGCGTTATTATTTGCATGCAGCGCAAGATGTAGATTTTTGCCTGATCTGAAGCTGAGCCAGTTCTTGCACGGTGGGTGTGTGGGAGCATAACTTCTGAGGCAGAGGTTTCAGAGCTGAAGGGAGAAAGAGAAGAGATCCCCCAGGGCTGGAAGGGTGGCTGAGCTGCCCCAGCCAGTGTGAGCAGCTGGCCATGAAGCACAGCCTCACGGGGGAGCGGGTGCAGGCAGCCCCAGCACTGCCCCCAGTGACAGCAGCAGGTGCCCTGCCAGTGGCTAATGGTGGCCACACGCTCAGTTTATGGGGTAACAAGGTTGCTGAGTATCTTTAACACTTTTGTAGGGTAGTAGAGCGCTCGCTGGGCAAGGGGGAGAAGCAGCTTCCCTCTCTCTCACCATGCTAACATGGGCAAAGTCATGTCAGGCGGAGGGTGCAGAAGTGGGTAATGCCAAAGCCCAGAGCTGATTTAGTTAACTGGTAAGGACTGGAGATTCACCTTGAGTTAGAGGACTGCCTGCAGCAGACCAGCAGACCTTGGGATCAGGTTGGCAGTGGAGGGAAGCAGCCAACAAGCTGTTGTTTAAGCTGCAGCTGATAGTGAGCTCAGTTGTTATTAAATCCTGTTTGGTGGAAGAATCACTGTAGAGGCAGCAGTATTTGCAATTTGAAAGAAATGGCAATGATGATAATAGCCCCAGTCTGTCCCAGGGAAGGACCAAAAACCAGGTCATGCCAGCACCAACCTCAGCTGGGGGCATCTCTTGCTGATCACTGTGTGTTTAGGGGTTTGTTCAGTAGAGACTTTTATGGCAGCAGAGAGGGAAGTTTGCAACACGGGAAGTAGTGTTGTTACACAAACTAAATGGAATTTGTATAATCCTGACTCATCTTCGGTAGGTGGGGATGAATCAGATGTCCTTCCTCCAGCAGGAGATGCCAAGGACCAGCATGGAAAGTCTGAGTGCTTGAAAGCCTCCCAGGCCACAAACCAGCAAGGTGCCTTGATTTTAACTTTGCTTCCATTGTAGGAAGATCATCACGGGCAGCTTGGAATCAGCAGCCACTGCCAGGCCCCGTTGCTGCTGCCACCCTTGTCCATGAGGACAGTGTTTCCCAAGGTAAAGAGAGGAAAGATAGCAGAAAAATAGCTCTTGCTGGAAACAATGCTGCATTTAATTGAGCTTCTTCCCGCTGCAGAGGTTTCTTAATTGGCTGCCAGCAGCTTTCACTACGTTCCTCTGACTTGCTCAGAGTCCAGCTCTGCATGTTTTGGATTCCCCTTTATCCTTATTTTAGTAGGTGATTATTCCATTTTATGGGTGGGCTGTGGGAAGGCAGAAGTCCGAGCACAGCTGCTGCTGGTCCGGAGTGCCTGGGTGTCTGTTCCTGCAGTGCCTGGGTGTCTGTTCCTGCAGTGGGGCAGCAGCCCTCGTGTCACATGGCATCTCCTCCAGTGCCCAGCTCCCCAGGGACCAGCCGGAACCCCTGTTCAGGTTCAGCACTCTCCTTTTGCTGTGTAAATGCAGGTGAACACACAGCCAGAGGAGCTGTTGATGGCACCATCTGCAAAAGCCTAATGGCTCATTCATTAAGCAGTGGGAGCCGGCACTGCCACAGTCTAATCAGATACTGTATGATGAATAATTCAGAAATAATCCTCCTATACTTGAATAAGTATCAGGAGAAGGAAGGAAAAAGGCCCATACATATGGCACACTAAGAGAACAAAACAGGCATTCTTCAGTGTCCCAGGCTGCTGAGCGCTGTGGTACGGGATGTTAATGTGCAGGTGGCTGATGCCTGGGAGGAGCTGACTGGGGGCTGCTGGCCCAGCTCTCGGAAGGTGCTGGTGAGCGGAAGAGACCGCAGTGCTCATGGGAAAATCCATCAGCACTGCAGTATGCCTGTGCTTGGGTTGTGTAGCTGGCTGGTGACACGGGTGGGGCACTGAGCTCGGGAGGAGATGGCTGGGAAGCCCCAGGTCTTGGCTGGCCTTGGGCTGTGCTGCTGGGCAGGTCGGGGGGGGCTGTCCCCCAGCAGCTCCTGCCCACACCCCCAGAGCTGCTGCTCTGGCTGGAGTACTGGTTATCTCCTGTGAGATCCCTTTCTTTTAATAAATCTCATCTTTCCAAAAGAAATCCTAGAGGTTTTAGTCCAAAATATAATAGGAGACTTATTTTAATAACCAGGAAAGGAAATTTTTTTTTTCCAAGAAAATACAAAGAGATTAGCAATAGGAGCATCTGAAAAGGGGAAGTTTAGTTGTAAGCTGGTTTTTAATATTGAATGTTTAAATATAAAGTACCATTGCATTCTAAACAGTGATAGAAAGAAAAATTGAAGTATTCTAAAACAAGAAATGCAAGCCTCTGCTCTTGTAGATCATATATTACCAGAACATTTAAGGTGAAAACCTTAAAAAGCAACTGCAGGAACAGGCAGTATTAAGTATTTGCCAGAAGCTGTAAAGTTATTAGTCTGAATTCAGGGCTTGAAATACAGAATGTGTATGTTACACTTCTTGCTTAAGCTAAGCGTGTTTCACTAGCCAGGAAAGAACTGTTTTGTTTTGTTATTGTCCTTCCCAGAAGTGGGGAAGGACAAAAAGGGCAGCTTTTATTCTGACATAAAAAAACCTAAATGTAAATCAACTTTGGTTTTCATTGTGTCAGTCCACCTGCAAAGTCTTCTTTGGCCCCAGCACATCTTTAATGCGCAGAAGCTCTGTTTGTAGCTGTGTGTGATGCAGTTAAAATTGATCTCTGTACAGAGAGCTGACGATGAATACACCATGGTTTAGAGTTCTGAATTTCAAGAGCCTTAAAATCCTTAGAAGTTAAATAATTAAAAAGTTATTACTGCACACAAGTTCAGCATTCACTACAGCATCAAAGTGTTCTGAGTTGGCAGCACTCCTTGCTGACTGCTGAGAAGTAACAGCAGGCTACACTGGAGGCATTTCTTCAGGAAAAAGAAAAGGGGGGTTCAAGATGTACCTGCTTCCTGGAGAATGAAATACGTGGTGTGGGAGTTGGGACTGCACGGCTCCCTCAGGGCAGGTGAGCAGAGGTCCCATCTCAGAGCTGCAGTCCAGGTGGAAGGATCACTGGTGATGGTTTCACTGGTCAGGACAGAGGCTGCACGCGAGGACAGCGGTGTCAGGGGCTTTGATCCCGGTCACTGCAAAGCCAAGGGAGAAAACGGGATAACCTAAACAAACGGAATTTCTTCCACCACAGCTTCCCAGGATTATGTGGCACAGTGTCTGGTGGAGTGGACGGGACCTCTGGTCTAAGACCTCAGAGCTAAGATGTAAGGTCAACCTGCTAAAAAACCCCCAAAGCCTCCCAACACAGAAGTGATGCTTGTAGGAACACTCACTATGCAATTGCCTGTTACTTTGTGTGCTTGAATTAAAAAGCCACTGGAGAAGAGCCATCAGCCTGGCACTGCTTGTAAATCATACTTAAAATTCTCTTATTTTATTTTTAAAATCAAATACTGAGGGTGATGGACGTTTTCTGCCATGTCAAGGACACCTTGCTGGGAGGAAAACAAATAAATCTGTGTGAAAGGCAGCATGCACAAGGACCTTTGTGCCATGTATAAACTGTGAAATCGATTAACAGTTCTGATATTAATACCAGAGTGGTAGTAACAGCTGCCATCTTCTTTATGCTATTATGCAAGCCAACCACAGAAATGCAATGTAAGTAAACAGAATTTGGTTTTCACTTTAATCAAATCAGTTTCCTGGTTAATTGGGAAGAAATAGGGTGCTATAAATATTATGGCTTAATTCTGCAAGTCCCTTGCAGGATGAGCTTGTGCAAGCTGAATTTCATGGCCCTTCTTGAATGTTAAAACTAGTGCAGAACACAAATCCATTTGGGTTTTTTATATAAATCCCCAAATCGATTTATTAAATTCACATTCTATAAACTTGTCAGACTCACTGATTGCCACAGTTTGCTGCTGTTTTGGTTCATTGGACAAGTTAGAATTTGTACGTGGGGAAGTCCCGTGGGCTGGGGTGGGGCCGCCAGGGCATGGGCCAGCCCGATGGATAATTCCCTGCCCGACCGATACCTGCGGGCACAGCTTCAGGGGCAGCCTGCCAGCAGGAGCTGTGCTCGAGCAGAAGGCCTTTGGGACTCGGTGCCTCGCCAAGAGGCTCGTAAGAGATGTTCATAAACCGGCATTATTTCTGCCAGAATATGTACTGTGCTGTATGCTCAGAGTATAAATGTGAGGCGGGTGTTATGTGTTTAAAGCCATTAATGTGATCCAATAAAGCGATTCGCATGCCAAGGTTTACATTCTGGAAATGGTGCTGCACAGCGGTAAGAGAGAGAAGAAAGGCTCTTGTCCTGCCGTTCCGAGCAATGGCGATGCCGCCAGGATGCTCCGCAGCCAACAAAGGCGGCTGGTGGGAGGTAGCGCCCGGTGACGGGGTGTGCGAGGCAGGGCAGCACCGCTCCGGGACACGGTTCCCGGCCGCGCCCCGGGCCCGCAGGGTGACCCCGGCCGGGCCCGGGCAGAGCGGCCGCAGCGCCGGCGGAGGTGGCAGCGTGTGGCTCCTCCCGTCCTTTGTTGGCCTGGAAGCGGAGCAGCGGCCGGGCGTCTTCCCCCGCTGCCCTTCGAGGCCTGAAGCGCTCTGGCCCCGGGAGCGCCCGGAGGGCTCCGGGGAGCGCCTCCCGGGGCTGCCCCGGCCCCGGGGAGATCGGCCCTGCCCGCCGGCCCCGCTCGGTCCCGCTCCGGGCGGGACCCCCGACCTGCCCGGGCTGCGGGAGGCCGCGACCCGGCCCCGGCCCCGCGGCGCCCGGCGGCCCCGCAGCCTCCCCGCCCCCGGCACTCTCCAGGGAGCCGTTCCACACGGAATCACACGGGAGCGTCTCCCCATCTGTGCCGCCGAGCACCCCCACCCCCACCGCCCAGCCCCGCAGCCTCCTGCCATTATGTTCCTCCGTCGCGGGGCCGGGCCGCGCCGCGGGCCGTAGCCCTGCCCGAGCCCGCCGGCTCCGGCCGCAGCAGGTGTGTCGCATGGGGACCGGAGGTTGCATGCGGTGGGGTCGCTTCCTCCCGGCCCGGTGGCGGCCGCGGCCCCGCGGGCACCCGCGCCGGGGCTGCCCGGGCCGGCGGCTCCGGGCCGGCCGGGCGGGGGCGGATCGCTCTCCCCGTCGCCGGAGGGGCCGCGGCCTCCTCTCCCCGGGCGTCCCCGGGGCTCGCAGGACCCGCTCGGGCAGGGGCCGGGAGCGAGCGGGCCCGCGGGGAGGTGCCCGTGGCCGCGGCGGCCCGGAGGAGGGAGCGGCCCCCCGGGCCGAGGGGCCGAGGGAGGGCCGGCCGCGGCCGCCTGTGCGGGGAAGACGGGCCGAGGCAGCGGAAGAACATGGTGGTTCTCCCCAGAACGGGGTGGGGATGAGGGATGCGGAGAAGGTGTGCAGGGTTGTGCCCGAGACCTCTGCTCAGTTGCAGGTGCAGCCCAGGGCAGAGGGGCTGGCCGGGGTTGCCCACCCGCCCGGAGGGAGCCCTGCAGAGCAGCATCTCCCGCAGCCCCCGAGAGGAGGGGGCTCGGCGCGTAGGCGGAGGTGGTTACTGGTGTTCCCAGAGCAAGGGTGAGTAGCCAGGAGGAGCGGGGTGGCTGCTGTCTCGGTCTGTGTGCCTGTCAGCCATGCAGGAGGAAGGCCCAGCGTGGCCGAGGTGAAGGGGAGCGGGCAGGAGCAGAGCGGCCACGGGCACAGGTGGGTGCGGACCCCCGGAGCGGCCTGGGCACCGCGGGGAGCCGAGCCCCTGGCCGGGCATCGCCCCAGAGACGCAGGGCCGAGCGGGCGGCTCGGTCCGCACGGTCTCTGCGGGGTGGGAGCCGCGCAGAGCCTGCCCGGGCCTCCCCAGCCGGGGGGTGCCGGCCGGGGGGGCTGCCCAGCCGCGGGGCTGCAGCTCGCTGGTTCTTAGGGCCTCTAGCATAGTCGAATAGCAAAAGAAAAAAAAAAATCAGCGCAGCGGCCAACTCGGTACTGCGAGGAGGGGGCAAAGGAACTATTTTGCAGGCATCTTGCTGCTGCGGAAATGGATTTCTTGAGGGGAGGGAGGCGCGCGTGTGGGTACTCTGTCTAGTAATGCTGCCCAGAGCTCAGAAAATGCCACTCGGGCGGCCCCAGAGGCAGCGAGGAGTGGGGAGGGCGGACGGGAGAAGCCCTCGCTCGGGCACCCCTCGGCCGTGGGCATGAGGGGGCAGATGTGACGTGTGTGAGCAGCCACCCCTCGTGCTGTGGGAGCAGAGGGGGAGCAGCCCGGGTTAGCAGCCTGTCTCCCAGGGCTGTGGCCGAGCCTGCCTGGTGCTGCAAGAGAGATCCTATGAGGATTTTTATTGCGGTCTCTTTGTTAGCTACAGACAGGCACGCACACACTCCCAGCTCTCAGCCAGGTTGTGGGAGGTAAGTGGGGGAGGCGAGGAAGGGAGCGTGCGGGGGGCTCTGGGGAGCAGGGGCTGCGTGGGCCGGGCAGGAGGGGAGCCGGGGCACAGGGCTGCGCCGGCCCCACGCCACACAAAAAACAGCCCCTGCGATTTTCAGGGACTTGTTGGCAACTCAGCGAGGGTTGCCATAGCTTTTTATGTAGGGTGACCAGAACCGGCTGGAACTGGTTTGAGGCAGATCAGCTCCTGAACACAATGCAGTCACTGAGCTACTACACTGGGAGAGCTTCCTCCCTTCATGGCAGCCAAAAGCAGAGGAGCTTGCAGAAAGATACCATCCCAAAACAGTATGTGAATGCACACTTTAGACACACAGCACTGGTATGTGGCTAACGTAGTCATAAAGGGTTCTGTATGTAAATGTACATATTTGCAGTAACTGAGATTACTTTGGCTTTTCGTGCCTTTTTATGCTTAAGGAATGGGCAAGAGCTGAGATTTATGACCCTTATTAAAATATTTTTGCTTTGCAAGGGTGGGACACTGGTTATGCAGTCTATTTTAAAACTAAACTACATAAAATGGATTGAATGATTTGTAATTGTAGTTATGCTTGTGACTGAGGATGCTGCTTTGCATGCGGTTTTATTTACAGGGTGCTGTCTTGTGGTTTGCTTCTTTAGGGGACGTTAAGGGGGGGGTTGCTGTGCCTTTCTCTAAGGCCAAAAGGAAACAGTATTGTTGTAGAATTGTGCATAAAAGCATTGCAAAGATGCTGTAAGGCATACTGGTTTTCCCTTTTTTTTTTCCTTGTAGGCCTATTGATTGGGGCTGCCTTTAACCCTTTGGTGTTTGCAGAGGTAATGCGGCTGTGGCAGTAACTGAGCACCGGCTAAAAAAATCTTTCAAAGGTCAAGGTTCACAAGGTGAGACGTGGTGGTTTGTGCTGATTATAACAATAGCGTGTAGGTACATGTGTGTGAGAAGTAAATCTGACTCCTCGTTGCACACTTGGCACATTAGGAAGGAGACAATTGTTTAAGTGTTACCGAAGAAATGCTATTAAGGTCCTCCAGTTTTAATAGGATTAAAGCTCTTATTTTTAAAGACTTAGTGATATCCTGGCTAAATACACTATTTTCATTGAAATATATCCAGATATACATTGTTTTCACAATGCAGTGATATGGAATAGGCCTCTGAGTGACAGTCATAAATTGTGGACCAATTGTGGCAGTGAGCTGTTCTGTGCTGTATTACAGACTCACATGCAGAATTTGCTGTCTGATTATTTACAGGTTATTGTTTGGCCACATCTGAGTGACCCAACACTTGGTTTTGAATTAAGGTCTTCAGTGTTAAGCATGTACTTAATACCTCCTAGAGAGAAAAAAGCCGTACAAAATAAATAGTATGGATGGCTTTTCTTAGACTGTTGTAACCTGGGGAGGATTTTGCAGCAGCCAAGTGGAAAGATGTATTTTGGGGGGTTGGATGGAGCTCCAGCACATTATCAGTGGCATGAATTATAATATTGTGCAGTAATGAAATCAGAAGAGGAAACCGGATGGGCAGTGCATCAGCTCCTGAGGGGTGACTGCTTTTAACTCAAAGCAATGGGTAATGGACAGGGGTTTGTGGGGTTTTTTTCTCATATGAAAAATAAATGTGTACTTAGATTCGAGCTGGCATTTGTATCTTACAGTGAAAGCGGAAGGATTCAGAGAGAGGGAGAGGGGGAGAGAGGAGGAAGCAGTAATGAATCTAGCAAAGGGAAGAACAAAGGCTGTTAGAGCTTACACAGTGGATCACTAAACATTTTGCCTTGGGGATTCTTTGCTAGAACTGTTACTTCCTATAACAGGAAATCAGCTACTCTAGAATCATAACCAGTGTGATTTTTAAGAAATCTACCCAGTCCTAGCTGTGTTAGCTGGTTGGGTAGTCTACAATCAAGATAATATGGAGGCAGAACATTGAAAGTGCTCTGTTGTGGTGTGAAATGAGTGTCCTCTCCTCTGTGCTCAGCAGATAGACAGTCCTAAAAGCCTTGAGAGGTTGTGGATATTGGGTAAGTTGTGAGCTGGCTGATGATAGGCAGGGTGCCTGCATCCCAGTGACAATACAAGGAAACCTTTTTGTTTCTGACTGCAGCACATTACATAAGGTGTCGAGCTATTAATTGTGGAAAAGTGAAAATAACGTGCTAACGTTTAGCCTGAAATTCTGGGTTTGTGGGTTTTCCTGCAGTTGTGATGTGTTGTGAGGTTTGGTAGGGCAGTGAATAGCCTGTGATGGAGCAAAATGCCTGACAGATCACTGTGCTGATTTCTGCTTCTGTCCTTCAGCACTGGGATGCAGAGGGGCTGTATTTGACTGGGGACGTCTGTTGCAGAGCGATGCTGGCAAACAGGAGTTCTTGTTGCATGAGAGGAGCGGTATCTCCTGATGATAGGACGTGTGTTCTTTTCCAAGTGTCAGCTAAAACTCATCTGTTACATGAGAGCACCTTTTAGGGTTTTTTTCTCTCTACCAGAATAGTAAGCAGCTTTAAAATTGTGAGTTCTTGAATTGATACAAGATTCTATGGATCTGTTTTGTTTGGGTTTTTGAACGCTATCTGTACTACAGATTTTTATTTTTAGCAACGAAGATTTTGAATTTGCAAGGATTTTTGTAGGCTGTAAGATAGAAACCTGACTAGGTGCTGGAGTCTGCAGTGTTCTTGGTGAGTTGTATTTTTTCAGTCTAATAATATCTGTAAATGCTCTTCACCAGGAGATTGGGGTTTTGCACGCAGGCCAGCTTTCCAGCAGAAAATGCTGCTGATGCTGGAGGGCTGGTGCTCTGTATCAGTACCCAGGATCTCATTTTGCATTGAGGCTGGTCTCAGGTA